GTGTGTGTGTGTGTGTGTGTGTGTGTGTGTGTGTGTGTGTGTGTGTGTGAGAGAGAGAACCTGGATGTGTGAGAGGAGTGATTGTGTCTGCGTGACGAAATCCCTGCTAGAATCCCATGGATCAGTGTGGATTTAGGGAGCTCCTGAGGCCGATGAATTGGACGCCTTGTCTCTCTCTGTCCTACCTCACAGTCTCCTCATCAAGCCTCCCCCTCCCTTTCCATCCCTCCCTTTTTGTCTCCTCTTCATCGCTTCTTCATTCCTCTACTCCCCTCTCTGTCTCCTTTTCCTCTTTTTATCCCTGTCGCCATCTGATCTTTCGTTCTTTCTACTCCTTTACTTCCTTTTGTCATTCTCTGTCCACTCCTCATCCCTTTTTCTTTTCTTCAGTTCCCTTCTTTTTCTGTCTCCTTCCAACTTTATTTCTCATCCTCCCATATTCTGATCCTCGTTCACTTCCTTCCTTCCTATCATCCTTCCCTCTCTCCCCATTTCTGCGGCTCCCTGAGGAATCTGTCCAGTTTCACGGTACTTTCATTTAATGTGCACGCCACACATTGTTCCTTTGTCTTGTGTGTGTGTCTGTGCATGTGTGAGAGCAGAGTGTGCGTGTGTGTGTCTGCCATTGCGTCTACCTTAAGGTGTCTGAGAATGTGTGTGTCTCCATCTCCCCCACCGAGTCTACATCTGTGTGAGTATGTGTGAGTGCAGATTATCCTAAGTCCTCTCTAATATTTATCCTGGCCTTTTCTAAAGCCAATCTTGTTCTCTTTGGTGAGAGCACAGCCTGTGGCTTCACATGCACAGAGAGGCGTGCACACACACGCACACACACACTCCCAGTTGTTTGAAATGGGATATGCCTCACTCTTAATTGGGAAGGTGTTTTTCTAAGGCTGTCTTACAATTTCACGGGGAATGTGTGGATCTGTGGGTGTGTGTATGTGTTTTAACCTGATTCTCACATCAACATAAGGTAAGAAAATAGCCCACCTCTGGAGCAACTTACTCTGAAACACACAGACTGTCTCTTACCACTGACCTCCAACACATTCCAGCCTGTCCCTCATTCTGTAAATAGTAGGTATTATACCACCTGGTTAGAGTTGTGACGTTGTGCTCTGTTACAGTTAGTCTATATATATATATTTATCTCATTTGATGAGCTATCAGTTTTAGAGAATCTTAAGATTTAGACTAGCAATAGAATATAGAATAGATGTGACTGCCTATTTAATCATTGTTTGGATAGGCCACCCACAAACTATAATAACAAGTATATAACTACTACTACTACTACTAGCAATAGCAGAAAAAGTGTAAGCATGAGTAGTATTAGCAGTATAAATAACAGTTATCATAAGCTATACTTCATTCTGAATGGATTCCCAAATGGGAACGGCATGGTCAGCTCTTCTGCCTGTTAAAGACACAATGGAGCTTCTATTTTCTGTGCTTACACAATAAATATCTACACAACTCCTGAATCTGAAAAACAAAACAAAACCCAAAACAAATAGAAGTTTAGTGCTTATTAGGAGGTATAAGAAAAGTTTAGGAGACATAGTTGGGGAAATTGTCTTGGACATTTGGAAAATGTGTTCAGCCTAAGAGACAATCTGAGCATTTGTGGATCTGTTTGTATATATATATGGGAATGGTTTGGGTCACTTAACAACAATTTGAGGACAGCTTGAAGAAAGTTTAAGCCATTTTGTGATGATTTGAGACATTGTGGGACGGCGTGGGACCATTTGGGCCAGTCTGTGACAGTTTGGGGCTGCTTTAGGACAGTTTTGGAACAGTTTGGGCAGCTTGGTTGAGGGGTTAAGATGCTTTCAATAGACATTTCTTTCTTGGTTTGCAGTACGGAGACACCAGTGCATTCCTGCTTTATTCTGGGCTGCGGTTTGAAGATGGGGGTGATACTATGCCGCTGTGGTTACCAGCAATTTGGCTGTGGGCTTTTACGTTTCTTCCCCCGTCAATATACATAATTGTACGCACATATATATAAATGTTCAGTACATTAGACCTGCACATTTCTGCACACACACAGCCTCAAAGCAACATTCTTTTGCAAACACACATCAAAATCCAGGAAGTGTGATTCTTTAAAAAAAGTTGTGTGCTTGAATCAGACACCTGGTATCTTTTGTCTAGTCTTCACAGTCTAAACTTACAAACCACATATGAGTACCGCAAAAGCACCTCGAAAAAAAAACCCATTATGAGTCGTTCCCGCAAACATTTTTTTTCTACTGCAATAAAATCACTAAAAACTAAAAACAAATGTAAACAAGCAATTTTAGGCAACGAATATTTAACAGCTCAGGAAAGAATACTTATAGTTTTCTGCCTAAAAAACAAAGTCTAACTCGAAGTGTGAATTACTAAACAAATTTCAGTAAACTGTTCAATCTCTTCTAAAAATAGAACTCTGCTGTTTTATATATAGCATTGTGGAGGAAAACTCTTCAATTTGAACACCACAGCAAGAGAACAAAGACAGCTGAACAAGAACACACACAAAACATGACCTACACTTACACACAGTGCATGTAGTTCAATCTCTGCTGTGTCTTCTGACCTTCCACGTGCACACACAGACATACATGTGTGTGCATGCTCATGCAAACACAGCCCATCTTTTCCTCTCTCTTTAAGTCTAAAATAGATGCAGGCCCCAAACCACAGCTACCAGTGGAACACTGTGAAAATAACTGCGACACACTTGTGCTATAGGGGTGTGTGTGCGTGTGTGTGTGTGTGTGTGTGTGTATATAGAGTGTCTGCTTGCTTTAACTGGACTGTGAATATAAGCAATCTCTTCTGAGTTCATTAGGAGAGGAGTGTAAAAGAAAGAAAAAAGTGAGGATGTTAAAATGCTAAATGCTAGAAATAAAACAGGGTTTGATTCATTAGTGAAACATGGGGCATAACGTAAAAAGAGAAGAGAAACAACAACAGCAGTGTACAACAGAATAAGATAAACAAGAGATCAGCCATTGATTAAAAAAAAGACTAATATACAAGATGAACTGCAGATTCCTCAGTGAAGAAACCACCAGAATAAACAGGACATAGCACACAGATGGGATTGATGACAATAATGAGTTTTTTGTGGAAAAAAAAATATTGCTCATGCAGTCAAATAACTCTTCATCTTGTCATCTTGTTTAGATAGTGTATGTATGTGTGTGGGTGGGAGCAGGCATCTATATACACACCTCTTTAGCTGAAGGAAGAGCTATGCTGACAGCGCGCTGACTAATGAACCATGTGATAAACAGTCCTGATTTCAGCAGGTGTGTGTATGTGTACAAAGTACAGCTGCTGAAGCTTCAAGTTGGTCCAAATGATGTCATCAGGGTAAGACACAAGGTCACATGACGCAGCGAGAAACATATAGACAACAAGAGATACGGTGGGATACATGTTAGCCAGATAAAACTACACACCCAGTTGGAATATACTAATGTTCCTAATATGTCCTTTATGTATTGATATACTGTAATTGTTATATCTGGCTTGCATATGCTACTATACTACAAGATTTAGATCTATACTTCACAGACTACAGTACGCAGAAACCAATAAACCAAAACATACAGTGGAACAAGTCAGATCAATGGTTACAGTAAAACTAGATTAACTTTTTTTAAAAACTGCTGGTTTGTGTTTCTAAACATTGCCGCCTGTGTAAATAGCAACCGGTAATTAGTAACTGGAATACTAGTATTTATAGTGTATATGGGATATGCATCACCAGATTTCTCCGAGCTCCCACTCCACGGCCCGTTCCACCTCCTGTAATTTTCCAGTAGCTGAAGTGACGTCCAGAACAAGAATTTATTACAAGAGAGATATTTCATTATCCATTGACCAAATGGGCTCTATTCTCATTAAGTGCTCAACTCATTAATACATTTTGCATACTGCAACAGATTTTATTTTTTAAATGAAATCCACGAAGATTTTAAAGTTTGCCTTCAACCAGATTTTGAGCATTTGACCAACCAGCATGAACCAAACATGGTCCTCCCTTCTCTATACTTCTGGAAAAGACAAGCAGAGACGATAATGTGCTTAGAAGTGTGTGTGTGTGTTTTGTTGGGTTTCCCTACCAATGAAGTGAGACTTATTGTGCGGTATTTCAGTGTGTATGCGTTTGTGTGTGTTTCTGTGGTCTTGGAGTAAAACGGTTGCTGTCGGTGTTGTTGGAAACGTAAACAAGTGTGCATGTTTACGGCCGGGTTAAAAAGCAACATCTGACAGGGTTAGCGAACGCCTGTTTACTGCAGTGCAGCGTGTGTGTGTGTGTGTGTGTGTGTGTGTGTGTGTGTGTGTGTGTGTGTGTGTGGTGTCTACATCTGTGTCAATTTTGGCAGAAGACCAAAAGAGAAAGGAGAGACCGCATGACAAGAAAACGTAAATACAAACACATTCACTCTCTCTCTCTCTCTGTCTTTCTCTCACACACACACACACACACACTTTATTGACCGACTTCGGCTCCACTGAACTATGCGCCGAATTACTGTAATCACTATAATCACTTATAAACATGCCTTTAACACTTTATAGACCTCTTTCTCTGTTTCTCTCTCTAACACACAAACACACACACACACACACAGTACAGTACTAATTCTCAAAAACAAATGGATCCACAAATCTCATGGTGTATGTGGAGGATTACAACTTCCTCATGTGGCCATGCACATTTACACATTTACCTTAAAACTGCTGGACAGTAAATGTCAGCAGCACTGACTCTGCAGTAAACTCAAATGAGCTGATTTAACATCTGGCAAGGGAACAAGAATTTAAACTAAACACTGCGGCTATGACTTGCATATTCATACACTGATTAATTATGCTGATTAACGTGCGTTGTCCCTAGACCCTAGAATGTGCATAAATAAAAAGCAAACAAGCAAACATGGTCCTGGAAAACCATTTGGCACCACCAGGCACTGTCATGTCCCCTATGCTATTAGGCCACATCTTCACTGATAAATCACACCAGCAAAATATGCAGATTTCCAGGAATTAACCACTTCTTTTTATAAGACAGAACATGTCTTGACTGAAAAGAATCGAACTGTGAATTTTAAACTAAATTTGGTTGGTTTTGGTCAGACAGAACTAGACATAAAAAATACTGAACATACAAAAGATGTTTGTCTGTTGTCTGTTTGTCTGTCTGTAAATACATATATCTATTGACCCAATGATAAGGGATTGAGAAGTGACAGGAAGTCAACAGTAACTCAAATAACCAGCAGAAGACCTCAATGGGTTCTAATCTTGTCAGCTAAAAACAGAAAACTGAGGCTACACTTTGCACTGGGTTACCAACAGAAGACTGTTGAAGAGCAGAAGAGCTGATTTGTTTTGATTTTTGCTGCCTCGGATAGCACGGTCATAATTTAGCATAAACAACATGAAAGCATGGATTCGTCCTGTCTTGCATTAACAGTTCAGGGTGCTGTTCCTTTTGTAAGGGCGTGGGGGACCATTAGTACCAACTGAGCATCGTTTAAATGACACAGCGCCCCATGAGTATTGTTGCTAATTAGTCCATCCCTTTATGACCACAGCGTACCCATCTTCTTTTAGCTGTTTCCAGCACCATGTCAAGAAGCTCTGGCCTCTAGATCTAAATCCAATAGGGCACCTTTGGGATGTGGTGAAACGGACCACATCATGAAGGTGCAGATAACAAATCTACAATAACTGTGTGATGTCATGTCAATATATACCAAAATGTCTGAGGAGCACCTTCCAGCACCTTGTTGAATCTGTGCCATGAAGAATTAAGCCAAAAGAAGGTCCAACCCAATAGTAGCAAAGAATACCTAAAGTGACCGGTGGGTGTACATTTTGTTTTTTACTATAAAAGAGAGTTAAGAGAAGGAAGAGTACAAGGAGGTAAGAAAGGCAGTAGGGGTTGGGCTTGAAGAGTGTAACTGATGATCTGTCAAAAGGTCCTTTAAAACTTCTGCCAAGAGTAAATGATCCATAAGGTGCCTGAGTGAAAGAGTTTATGTATTTGCATGTATATGCATGATTTTACGAGTGTCTACCTTGCAAAAATTATGTGAGTGTATATTTTTTATGCATGTGCCTGCACTGTGTAACTTATGCAGCTGTGTATGTATACCTGTTTGTAGTGGTATTATTTCTTATTTTTTTCACATACCTGTGTATATTATTTCAAGGGTGCGTGTACTGATGCATTTAAATATGTGTCTCTGTGTTGGCTGTAAGGTGTTAAATGAATAGGGTCCGTGTTTTTGCCTGCTGAGCCTTAAAATCTGCACCAAGGGACCAGCTTACAAGGCTGTCCACCAGCACGCACACAGTATAACATGCACAGATTACAACACATGGGTACACACACACACACACACACACACCACTGAAACTGTTCAGTCAGCAATCTGGTAGCAATGCAGTTCCCTCCCAAATTCTTTGATACTTTAGTTGGATCTTTCAGTATTTACATTGCTGGAACTGTTTGTTTTCTGCAAGAGACAGCAGAATTAAAGTATTTTGACTAAAATGATGAATGGGAAGTTCCCATCCTATAATCCCATGGTTGCATTTATCTAAAATACTAAAACCAACAACTCAACAGAGAGGCAGAGTAACAACCTTTAAATAGGGTTACCTTAAGTTTAATTCATTTTTATTTATACAGTGCTAATTTACAGCAGCAATGGCCTTGAAGTAGCCCAGCAACCTGAGTATTTAGTAGCATAACTGAAAGATGGCTCAGGGTCGCTTCATCCCGTCCTAAATGTATTAAAAAGGAAATTTTGAGTCTAATTTTGAGTCAGTCTAAGTGGAATGTAGACAAGTAAACCAATGACTCACCAGGAACAGCGAGATTCTGGACTTGAGCAGGGACCTGGACATTAGCCTCAGAGGCCAGGGTGAGACGCCCCCCTTTGCCGATTCGTTCACAAAGCAGGGTGATGTGCTTCTTGAGACGGGCAGTGTCACTGGGGAGGCCCAGCACTGATCCTCCTGTCTGCGCCAGAGAAGTAGCCTGGTCCTTGGGGTTCTGTGACAAGCAGGTCCGTAGGAGGTGGGAGACGGCAGCATCACAGCTCTCTTCCCAACCCTGTGGAAAGAAATAGGAAGCTTACCTTATACACTACCGCTCATTTCATGATTATTTACATTGTAGATTCTCACTGAATGTGTCAAAACATGTTCAATATTTTAGATTTTTCAAAACAGCCACCCTTTGCTTTGTTTACTGCTTTGCACACTCTTCTCTCAATGAGCTTCATAAGGTCGTCACCTGAAATGGTTTTCTAACAGTCTTGAAGGAGTTCCCAGAGATGCTGAGCACTTGTTTGCCCCTTTTGACTTCACTCTGTGATCCATCTCATGCCAAAGCACAGATTTCACTGGTCTAATGTTCATTCCTTGTGTTTTTTGGCACAAACAAATCTCTTCTCCTTTTTGCCTTTCTTTAGTAGTGGTTTCTTAGTAGCTATTTGACCATAAAGGCCTGATTTCCACAGTCTCCTCTGTTGATGTAGAGATATGTCTGCTACTGGAACTCTGTGTGGCATTTATCTGGGCCCTAATCTGAGGTGCTGTTAACTTGCGGTTTCTGAGGCTGGTGACTCCGAAGAATTTATCCTCAGCAGCAGAGGTGACTCTTGGTCTTCCATTCCTGCGACGGTCCTCATGTGTGCCGGTTTCATCGTAGCGCTTGATGGTGTTTGCAACCGCACTTGGGGACACATTCAAAGTTTTAGCAATTTTAAAGTAATGATGAATGGTTGTTTCTCTTTACTTAGCTGATTGGTTCTTGCCATAATATGAATTCTAAAAGTGGTCAAATAGGGCTGTCAGCTGTGACTAAAACACAACTGATGGTCCCAACCAAGAAGGCAAGAAATTCCCCAAATGAACCCTGACAAGGCACACCTGTGAACTGAAAACCATTTCAGGTGACTAAATCATGACCCTTATTAAGAAAAGGGTTTGCAGCACTGTCAACAAAGCAAAGGGTGGCTACTTTGAGGAATCTAAAATTTCAGACAAGTTTAGAGTTATTTATCAATTTTTTCTTTGCTACATAATCCCATATATCTTGCTTCATATATTTGATGTCTTCAATATGTATATACAAAGTAGAAAGTAGTAAAAATAAAGAAAAACGCTTAAATGAGAAGATGTGTTCAAACGTTTCACTGGTAATGTACGTTTAAATTATTGAGATACAGGCTGAAAGAAGAATGACATAATAGACACAGAAGGCCTGTATTATAGTAACTGTCTTAGTAAGTTTTCAGAAACAAGAAATCAACATTCAGAGAAAATAATAAATACTATCAGATTGTAAACTTGTGTTTCTGTTATTAACTAGCAATGTAGAACTAAGACTGGGAGGTGTGAGTTTCGATTTCTGCTTCACTAAAGTAAAAAAGGGATGGTGCAAAAAGAAGCTAGAGCAAAGAATAGAGGATACAAATTTGCATAACAGAATACATTAAACTCTTAATTCAAGGCAGATCCACTCATAAACAGAGTAAGAAATGAGGAGGAAAGAACCACGAGTGCATGACTTTGGAAAGGTGATGGAGAAGAGACAAATAGTTAGAATAAACTATTTTAGCCTTTTAATTTGATGCCCTGTTGAATTTTGAATTTATGAGAGAGCAAGAAAATGATAAGACATTCAGAATCGAAAGAAACGAAAACACACACGCACACACACACAAAGCCACAGTAATAAAACAGTGAGGAGGGTTTGGTCTTTTGCTGTCCCCGTTCACCATCTCTCATCCTTCACCCACGCATACATACACGAATATACCCAACTCATCCTACTAAAAACCAGTGAACCCAGAATCTCTCATTTGAATGGGTGATTTAGATGGGTAGGTCTGAGGATGATGCGGTATGTGCGTGAGTGTGTGTTGGGAGGGTAAGGGTGTGTTGACAGGTACCCCTCCACCATCACCCCCCCCACACACACACACACACACACACACACACACACACACACACACACCTCGTTCTCCTGCCTGCCGCCATGCTGATAGGCCCCTAATGAGCCATAATGACAGGTAATCAACCCTGTAATGATGATGACAGAGAGATACAGACAGACACAGGGGAAAGAGCGAGAGAGAGAGAGAGAGAGAATGCAGGAGTGTGAGAGAGAGAGCAAAAGAGGACGAAAGAGCGAGAGAGAAAATGGTCGGGGGGGTTGAAGGAGATGAGATGATGATGGAGGGAAAGGCAGACACCAAAAAAAATTATACATGTGGAAAGCCGAAAGATGAGCAAAGACAAGAGTAAAGAAAAGACACTGGACGAGTCTGGAAGGAGAAAAATTAAAGAGGAGGGGTAGGAGGAGGCGAGATAGAGGTGGGTGACCTATTCTTACAACAATACCTCACCAGGTTATCAAATACTTGGAACAACATAACTGCAGGTTTCTGTGGAAACTTGGCATGCTCATGCACGCGCTCGCTGAAACATACGTTCCACATGCTGCGGAAGAAAATTAAACGTCTCTAAACCTAAACTGCAGACATTCATCCTCCTGAAGGAGAAGAAAGGAAGCAAAGAAAGGTGGAGCTGAGCGGCTTTGGATCAAGGCCAGAGCGATAAATTACGGCAAAGTTCCCACTAATGCAGAAATAGAAGAGGAACTTGTTTTCTGTACCAAGAAACAAGAGAGGTTTTGTATTATTGGGTCGTCTTTGAAGACTTTTTGAAAAGAGAAGTTGTACAAGTGCAGCAGCAAAGAAGCATGACAGAGCTTCTATTTTCCTTGTGTTTATGATAGCAAATAGGAATCTTTTTTGAACTTTTACCAACACTTCAGAGTGGAAAGCTTTAGTTTTGTGTATATTGACACTGTATAGACACGGATTACATCAGTAAATAAAAGTACCCTGTTGAATAACACTGAATGTATGATTATCCAAAATGTTAAAACGCCATTTTTACCTTGTTTTTTCTTGAGTGCACAAAAAAGCTGATATTCAGTGAGAACAATACCAATCGCATCACTGAGTGAGAGAAATTGATGCTAAATTGTTAACACTTCGTGACTGAAAAGTATTTTTTGAGTCATACATTAACTCCGCATTATGCCGCATTACAAACAAACACATTAAAATAAAGCACATGTGGTATTATTAGCTTAGACAAACAGAACCAGTTATGAATAGTTTTGCCTTTAAACCTGTATAGTTTCAATGTTCCACTGTTGAAGTACCAACAAAGACAAACCTTTTTTTTTCTTTTTTCTTATTAAATAGTTTCCTCAAAAAGCCTATGGACTGCATCAGGAATATCAGGTCTGACAAAGGGAGAAACCCTGGGTGTAACTGCAGAATTACAGGCTGGCAATACATAAATTATAACAGAGTCTAGCACACAACCTTGGAGGACTCCCAAAGAGACAGGTAAAGGTTCAAAAAGCAATCCCTCTGCAGTCATGATATCCTCATCAAGACTGCGAATGTCATTTGAGAGACCGGAGTTACGGCTCTGTGAGAACAATGCCATACAGTCAGTCTCAGGGGGAAACATTACCCACACAATCATCCTAAGACCAAATCAAGAGTGGATTTAGTACAGCATCAGCTACTTTCCTTAACTTCTGGGTACAATCAACTTTAATACATCTATTTACTGTAAATGCCTAGTTACCGACAATCAGAAGCTCTCAGAGTCAGAAGGCCTATTATGTTATAAAGAAACCTGTGGTTTGACTACAGATCCACAATATGAAGCAAGAAATTATGGACAAATATAACCTCTTTATTTCATAATAATTTGAAAACAAGTGGCATTTATATACAGTGTGGAGTGCATAATGTTGAAGTTCCAGTAGTGGAGGTGAGGTGTCTATGAAGTGTTCAGCAGTCTGATGGCCTGGTGGAAAAAGCTGTCTCTCAGTCTGCTGGTACGGGACCGGATACTGCAGAACCTCCTTCCTGATGGAAGTAGTCTGAATAGTTTATGGCTGGGGTGACTGGAGTCCTTGATAATCCTCCCCGCTTTCCTCAGGCACTGTTTCCTGTAGATGTCCTGGAGGGAGGGAAGCTCACCTCCAATTATCCGTTCAGAACACCGCACTACTCTCTGGAGAGCTTTGCGGTTGTAAGCGGTGCTGTTGCCATACCAGGTGGTGATGCATCCAGTGAGGATGCTCTCAATGGCACAGTGATAGAAGGTCCTGAGGATGCGGGGGCTCATGCCAAATCTTTTCAGTCTCCTGAGGAAGAAGAGGCGCTGTTGCGCTGGGCGATCGTGGCTCAAGAGTTGGGAGTTCGCCTTGTAATCGGAAGGTTACTGTTTCGAGCCCCAGCTTGGACAGTCTCGGTCGTTGTGTCCTTGGGCAAGACACTTCACCCGTTGCCTACTGGTGGTGGTCAGAGGGCCCGGTGGCGCCAGTGTCCGGCAGCCTCGCCTCTGTCAGTGCGCCCCAGGGTGGCTGTGGCTACAATGTAGCTTGCCATCACCAGTGTGTGAATGTGTGCGTGAATGGGTGGATGGATGACTGGATATGTAAAGCGCTTTGGGGTCCTTAGGGACTAGTAAAGTGCTATATAAATACAGGCCATTTACCATTTACCATTTCTTCACTGTGTTGTTTATGTGTACTGACCACGTAAGATCCTCAGCCAGATGTACACCAAGGAAGCTGCTCACTCTCTCCACAGCAGCGCCGTTGATGGTGATGGGGGTGTGTACTTCTCTGCATCTCCGGAAGTCCACTATCAACTCCTTTGTCTTTGTGACGTTGAGGGTGAGATGGTTGTCTTGACACCAGTGGGTCAGGGCGCTGACCTCCTCCCTGTAGACCCACCACTGTAGTGTCTTCCGCAAACTTCATAATGATGTTGGAGTTGCTAGTAGCCGTGCAGTCGTAGGTGTAGAGTGAGTACAGGAGAGGGCTCAGTACACACCCCTGTGGAGCAGCAGTGTTCAGTGTGACGGGGGATGAGGTGATGCTGCCCAGTTTGACCACTTGGCGTCTGTCAGACAGGAAGTTAAGGATCCAGCTGCAGAGGGAGCTGCTCAGTCCTAGATCCTGCAGTTTCCTGTCCAGCTTCGAGGGAACGATGGTATTGAATGCTGAGCTGTAATCTACAAACAGCATTCTCACATACGTGTTTCTCTTATATCGCCATGTTTTCAGGTTATTGCATTCGCAAACTTTAGTGTCTATCCTGTCTACCCCCAAAATTATGGTTGAATACAAAAAAAAAAAACACCCACCATATCATGAATGGGAAAATTCTCTTTCAAATGCCTTAACACTGTTAAAAGGTTTATAGAACCATTTGTGATTTAAGGCTACAAAACACTTTCAGGAGCTATATCTGTATATCTGTTGAGACATGGACAGGGAGCCTTGTATCACTGGTTTTAAAGTTACGGCTGATGTATAGTTTAGGGTCTATAGTGTTAGTTCAGAGAGTGAGAAGCCTGAGCAAGACTGGCATTATGACTGTATCAAGAAACTGGGAGGAAAATAATGAGAGAAGGAAGGTAAGAAAGTAAAGCAGAAGCAGGAGGTGTTGAGACAGTGAGAAAAAGAGGGTAAAGAATGCACTATGGTATAAACAGAAAAAAAAGAGCAGGAGGGATGATGGAGAGTGATAACACTGCTGGTGTAAAAAATAGAGAATAGAAAAACAATGAGGATTGAGATGAGGATGAAAAGTGGGAAAGAGCGCAGAGTGGGAGGAGGACACGGAGGAAGGAATGCATGAAGAGAAAAAGGAGGTGTTCTGCTTGGCTGCAACTAAATGAGACGTTTCGTTAGATACCCCACAGATGCATTTCCTCTGGTGTTCCTCCTTCTCCTTTTTTCTCCACCTCCTCCTTGTTTTTGACCTTGTTATTATAAATATTTCTATTTTCTTTCAGATAAAAAGCAGTGTAATGAGCCTGCACTCAAAAGAACTCCTCTTCTTAATTCCAAATATCCTGAGAAGCATAAACTTTGCCACAGATTTTTGCCATTCTTTGTGCTTTCCAATCACATAATATGAAAGTGACATGGGTCATTTGGTATTGCATTATATATTTTAGTTATTCTGCGTTTCAGTGAGCAGAGATTGCTGTGTATAGTATCTCCTTTGTCAAAATGTCTCAACTTTCATATTTCAGTCTTCTACAATCTCAGTCTCAGAGGTGCAGCAACAGGTGCATGTTCAATGTTTTTTCACAGAGCTGTGCACCATGATTTTTTTTAAAGTGGACACCAATTGTTGTTCAATATGAGCTCCACTACCTGCGACTTCATCATTATCCCCAAAATAAAGTTCAGCTTCAAATGTCATTGTTTTGAAACCAAGCGGAAAACTCCAGAGCTGAAAATGAAGCAAATGCACAAGTGGCAAAATTTACAGTTCCTCTAGGTGCCACTTCATGCTGGCTCCAGAAGGGAGACATTCCCCATAGACGGCCAGGTTAAAATGGCCAATTTTACAGCATCAAAAAGCATATTTACAGCCTGGTTTAAAAAAAAAATGGTTTTGGCCTCTATGGACAGTTATCCTATCATAAATACTCTGGTAATTTTTTTTTACAACTCATCCACCTGGTGTAGTCATTAAACTGGACCTCTTTACTGTGTGTGTGTGTGTGTGTGTGTGTGTGTGTGTGTGTGTGTGTGTGTGTGTGT